GAATCAGGGTGGTGGCCATATTTACTGATGTACCATAATTTGTAATTGCGGTTGTTTACCGTGGTTGCACTCGAAAGACAACTTGCCTGGACACATAACTTTGTACATAATGGATCAAATGCGGCATGGCAGATTGACGTTAAACCGTACTTGTTGGAGCTCGCTCATTTTCATCTTTCCACTTGTGAGTGCTCTCTCAGCTACCTTCTTGACGACGCGTTGCACCTCAGAGATTTTGTCGTCTGCTTCGGTGTCCCTCATCGTCTCTGTTTCCTACTCCCGCCTGAGATTTATCCATAATTTATTCTCGGTGAAATATGCAAACTGACTGTGAGTAAGTCGTTGATGGCAGCAGCTTAGCCCTCCTCCTCATTTCCTCGTCATGCGTGGTTTCTAGGAAACCGGTTTGTAAAGTGACGGGGCAGGTACTGTGATGGTAAATACATTCACCGAGCCGTCAAGTCAACCTGTCGTTGAAGAACAAATTGGACTCTTTTCAAGAGGACGACTTCAAGTGTTTACAAAATGACCGCGATGGAGGATCATCATGTGGAGTTCAACATGAGGAAGGCGCTGCAGTTTTGGAAAAAAGTGTACTCAGGTACTGTGGATTTTTGGGGGACCGGGGGGGCAGTTAAAGAGCTGGCCAGATTACAAGCCTTTCTTGCTTCCTGTGGATACAACAGAGCTTTTGAACTTTCTTGTAGAAACCAAACACTTGCTGCATTGTTGTTATGGTAGAACCATTTTAAAAGTGTGTTCTCGTGGGTATAACAACACTGAAGACAGGGCAACGAGATTCATTAGGGACAAACCATAACGAGGAAATGCTGAGAATATTTCTTTTGTGAAGGCACAGCCATCATTTGGGAGTTTATTGCTGTTTTTCTTCTGCTCACAGAGCGTATGTGAGCACTAGGAGTTGACATGACACTTTGAGAAGTCAAGTACAAAGCTGCTGTCATGAGGAATAGTCTTCACTCCGACCATGTCAGCTTGTTGCTATGGAGAAGGCCGACACAGAAAATCGTGTTTGCGACCGCATGCATGTCAACTGTATGAGATAATAGCTGCGGCAAAACCCTACAGAGGTACCTATGGGATTATTAAAAATGCACTCACAGGTCCCGCTCTATTAAAAATATACACGCAAAAACAGGCCAAACTCGAATGTTCAAACAAATAAATGTAGAAGCCGGTCTGCTATACGGGCGTACCCGGGATTACATCTGCCAAACTCAAAACAGCCAGACAGCTTATTTAGCTTGTTCTTGGGAGGAGTTTATGAATTCAGAAATAGAATCTTAATTGTCATTATATAACCAAATTGAAGATATACAAATGAATTCAGCGCACGCAATATTTTTCATCAAAACTGAGATGAATCATAATGGCCGATATTGCGTCTTTAAATGGTGTGTTGAAAAGGCAAAGCGGTGCCACCGTGCCAGCATAGTGCAGGCCAAATCAGAGAGTGAGAGTGAGAACTTTTTCTAGGAACAAAGATGATCCTGACATACTTTCTCGTGCATTCAGCAAGGCAATTTTGGAGTTTCTGAATGATCCCTGGGCTGACTTGAAAGCCAGTGACAAGACGAGTTGTAACACATTACCTGGGACAACCACTCCTTTGAGCTCTGTGTTTCCTGCCCGGGTCATTTCAGCACATGGACAATTGGTGCTGAACTTTTACCACAGTATATTTTGGGGGTGCTTTTTTTTATGGATTCAATGTTTGTTTCATAAAAATGTTTCATTTCATTGGGACTTATCCACTTTGTTAGTGTAGCTTTGTGGTAGACTACAGTGTGTTGTGAGGTACAAATTTAGGTTACGTTGCCGAGGTAGGAACTGAACTCAGTCGTATACCAAAGACAACCTGCTGAGCAATTCTAGAGCAATGCGTGATATGCTTCACATTCTAAGTGTGGGTTTCTACATTTGGTTTGGAGCAGAAAAAGTCTGGGGGGGTGGAGACTGTGATCCAATGAAAACCAAGGCACCTATCGAAGCTGCTGTATTGACACTCGATAGACGGTGCAAGTTTACCTCGTGTTGTGATTGTATGGCTTTTATGTTTTGGAGGTTTGATTCTACGTCATTGCTATTTAGTTTATTGGCAATGTTACTAAATGACTAACTCGCATGAAAGAGGAAAAACAGGTTTGAAATTGAGTAATTTGACATCATGTTTGCCATCGACTTCCTACAACAGATAGCTATTTTTTTCACCACCAGTGCTTTTGTGCCGCCCACGGGTCCCTGTTATCATTTCATCAAGTTTGACATTCAGCTAAAGGTTGCGTAATGGTAACGATTAAGCTGAGATCTGTTTTCCTCCACAACCAGTTAGCAGCATTTACTTTCTATCTCGCCTCGAGTATGTGCACCTGATTGTGTCCAGTCCGTCGTCATGGCCTTTTTGCTTGTCGATTCGCCAAAGGTTGTTGAATGTGAAAATAGGATGTTGATAGTTTGGAGGAAGATATTTTGCAGCAAGCCAGTTGCTGGGCACTGAACGTCGTGGGCACCATTTTTT